GGGTTCACTACTCTGGTAGGGCAACTCCAAACTTGCACCCATGTCCTGGATGTCTCAGAGGGCAATTACTGAGGGCAACTACACGGGGCAACTACTCTCACTTTAACATCCCTCAAGTGGATGTTTGGTGGTACTGTGGAGGAAGAAACCTGTTACCACCCAAATGGGCTAGAACCTGTTCTTTGGTTCATTTGGTCATCCCATTCACCCTGGCATTTCGCTCCAACCTAAAAATTCATCAAAACAGAATCAAAAGGTCATTACAGGGATCATTTTATCCCAACATATATATCAGTGCTATAGAAGTCCCCCGAGGAGTCCCCAATGAATTTAAAGCTAAAACCCAAATTGCTGCAGGATTTGAGTCTATGCTCTTCTAGTGGTCAACTGTTAATAAAAATGTAGGTTTGATTAATTACATTTACTGTAACCAACAAAGGCTTATTAATTATACGAGAGATGCTGTCAGAGAAATTGCAAAACAACTGGATGCCATCAGCCAAATAACTTGGGAAAACCGTATGGTTTTAGATATAATGTTAGCTAAAAAAGGGAGCGCCTATGTTATATTGGGGGGAAAATGTTGTACTTTTATTCCAAATAACACAGTCCCTAATGAAACTATCACCAAGGCACTATAAGGGCTAACTACTCTGGTCAATGAATTGGCTAAAAATTCTGAAATTAACAATCCTTTTACAAATTGGTTAAAAGGCTGGTTCAAAAAAACAAAAGAAATGATAGCATCAATCTTGACCTCCTTTGTGATTGTAGCAGGAATATTTACAGATGTAGGTTGCCTGTGTTAGAGGCTTAGTCCAAAAACTTATAGAAACTGCTATTAATAAACAAATGCCCATAGGTTATTCCCTAAATAAGCTCATGATAATGAAAACTAAATTACATTTTGAGAAAAAAGTTATTAGAAAAATTTGAAACAAACTTGAATTATAATAAAAATGAAATCGAAACTACTTAAAAATAAAAGAGGAGGGAACTGTAAGAAACAAAATGGCGATTCATTTTCAAAATGGCAATTTGTTACTTCACTTCCTGGTTCTTCCTCCTTTCTTAGTGGGCTTTCTCTTTTGGTAGGCTTCCTTTGGTGGGCATTGAGACCCAATCAGAATTCAAGAACATATATTTTACCTTATTTGTGTAGAAACTGCTTGTGTGTTGCTACCTTATTTGTACAAAATTATTGCTTAGGCAACATCTGGAAAAGTAATATAACCTGTGAAGTACTCAGCCAATAAGGAACCAGAGGATGGACTTGTGCTTTAGAGGCATAAATATGCTGGCTGTAACTGCCTCGGTGCCTGCTCACTTGAGAGGTGCCCATTTTTGCAAGAATAAGATTTAAAAAGTTGCTTCACTTCCCTAATCTCTGAGTCTCCAAGCCATGCTTTAACAACGAAACTGAGGAGGGAGAATTCTGTCTCCCACAGGCATATTGTTTCTTTTTTTATCTTCCATCTTGTAAACTCAATAATTTGTTATTAGTTTAACTCTTTGGGGCATGGTTTCACCAGCACCTTCTAGAAGAACAGTGGAGGAGGGGGACTAGGTTGTCCATACCATGCGGAGTCTTCAGACCACGTTGGGGATGCTGCCTTCACAGTGACACATGGGGCTGCACTTCCTTCAGCACTTGCCCACGAGGCTACGGACCCAGTGCACACTGTTGGAAGGCAGGTCAGGTAGGTTCTCCAGCACCAGGGGTAGTACCTGGAGTGTAGATGTCTATTAGGGCCGATTCTTAGCATTCACACTTGAAGAAGGAAGGGGCAGTGAGGGTAGAAGACCACCAATCCAGGGCAGGCCTGCAATGGCCCCCATGGCCCTCCACAAGGGCTGGTAATTGGAAGCCACCTACTGAGTATGCTCCCCTCATGAGATGGTACAGGCAACACATCTGTGTCCACCACTTGGACCATGAGCACCGAGTGTCTAACAGCACTGTTACTTCCTGGACCTAACTGAAGACTCCTGCAACCAATAGCCAAGGCCCATCTGTCCCAATCATGTGGCTCACAGGTCCTGCTAGGGTGGGCATCAGTCCTTGGTCAATGTGACCACTGTGAAATCCATCCTGATTCCCTGCTTCTCTGTCTATTCCAGAATGTCATCTTGTTGGAATCATACAATATGTAGCCTTCTCTGATTGACATCTTTCACCTAGTAATATGCATTTAAGACTCCTCCATGTCCTTTCATGGCCCGATAGGTCATTTCTTATAAAGGTTGAATAATAGTCCATTGTCTGGATGTACCAGTTTATCCATTCATCTACTGAAGGACATCTTGGTTGCTTCCAAGTTTTGGCTCTGAGTAAAGCCACTGTAAATATCCATGTTCATTCAGGTTTTTGTGTAAGCATACATTTTCAGCTCCTCTGGGTAAGTACCAAGGAGTGATAGTTGGATATGGCAAAAGTATGTTTAGTTTTGTGAGAAATCACCAAAATGTCTTTCAAAGTGGCTATACCGTGTTGCATTCCCAACAACAGTGAAAGTTTCTATTACTCCATATCCTCACCAGTATTTGGTGTGGTAGGTGTTTTGGCCAAATAGGTGCACTTTAGGTTTCTAGTTAGTTTTTAATTTTATTATTTAAAAATTTTTTATTTTAAACATGTAGGGTACAATTCAGGGTTAGGTATACAATTTTTTTTTCTGAGTAGGAGTCTCACTCTGTCACCCAGGATGGGGTGCAGTAGCACACTCACGGCCACCGCAGCCTCGACCTGTTGGGCTTAGGTGATTCTTCTGCCTCAGCCTTCTAAGTAGCTGGAACCACAGGCGTGTGCCACCACACCTGGCTAATTATATCTATTGTAGAGACAAGGTCTTGCCAAGTTGCCCAGGCTGTTCTCGAAACCCAGGGCTCAGGCGATCCTCTCACCTCCACCTCCCAAAGTGCTAGCATTACAGGTATGAGCCACCATGCCCAGCTGGTTCCTAGTTGTTTTAATTTTCATTCCCATAATGATATATGTGGAAATCTTTTCATATACTTGTTTGCCATTTGTGTATCTTCTTTGGTAGAGTATCTGCTTAAGGTCTTTGGCCTTTTTAATCAGGTTGTTTTTCTTATGGTTGAGCTTTAAGAGTTCTTTGGGATGGCAGTTCTTTACAGATATATCTTTTTCAAATATTTTCTCCCAGCCTGACTTATCTTTTGTCTTGACAGTATCTTTTGCAGAGCAGAAATTTTTAATTTTAATGAGTCCAATTTATCAATGTTTTCTTTAATGTTTTGTGCTTTTGGTTTCTTACCTAAAGAGTCATCACCAAACCCAAGATCACCTAAATTTTCTATGTGATGTTCTAGTTTTATGGTTTTGTATTTACATTTAGGTCTGTAATCCATTTTGTTAACTTTTGGAAACAGTGTAAGGGCTGAGTCTTGATTCTTTTTTTTTTCTTTTGCATATGGATGTTAGGTTGTTTCAGTACCATTTGTTGAAGACTGTCCTTTCTCCATTTAATTGTCTTTGCTCCTTTGTCCGAGGTCAGTTGACTATATTTACGTGGGTCTATTTCTGGGCTGTCTATTCTGTCCCATTGATCTATGTGTCTGTTTTTTTGCCAATACCACATGTTTTGATTACTTTAGCTTTACAGTAAGTCTTGAAGTTAGGTAGTATCAGTCCTCCAACTCTGTTCTCCTTGCTTTTATCTTTGACTATGGATTATTTAGACATGTCTTCACTTCCAAATATTATGGGATTTTCCAAGTATCTTTTTGTATCTGATTTCTAATTTAATTCCATTGTGATTAGAGAACATACTCTATATGGCTTCAATCCTTTTCCATTTCTTGAGCCTCATCTCATGCCTGGCATGTGGTCTGTCTTAAGTGAATTGACCATGAGCTTCTGGAAAGAATGCATACTTCACCATTGTTAGATGATCTATAAATGCCATTAGTTCATGCTGGTTGATAATGATGTTTAAGTCTATATCCTTACAGATCTCATGTCTATCAGTTGCTAAGACAAGTACTGAAATCTCCTGCGATAATTGTATGTCTGTCTCTCATGATATTCTGAAATTTTGCATCGTGTGTTGTGAAGCTTTTATTAAGTGCATACACACTTAAGATTATGTCTTGACACACTAATCCTCTTATTATCAAAATCTCTTTACCTATTTCTAGTACTATTCCTTGTCCTGATGCTTATTATGTATTAATATCAAAATACCAAGTGTCTGAAATTTACATAAAGAGTCTGAAGCTTACATCATAGTGAACAAAGAAATCCTAGTATGGTTCCAGAGAAAAACTTTCAGAATATTCAAAATCTGTTCTTGATAAACAGAAATAAGATAACTTGAATTCAAGAATCTTTAATGACTGACTCAGGATAGAGAATCTGATTTTTAATCACATCAAGGCAAATACTTTCCCTCAGATGGCAACTGCACAAGGCAGTCACCATGCTCCTCTCAGTGGTCTCTGTTGCCAAGAATAAGGCACTCTGGGACAGGTTACTCTTGACATCAAGTGACACCAACTATGGAAAAACAGATTCCTTTGCATTATGATCTAATTGTGAACAAAAAGTTCTCTTTGTGGATCAGAAAAAAAAACAAAAAACAATGGATTAGAATGAATTTGATTTAAAAATGAGAAGACTGCAGGTAGGGACAGACACTGATTCCGAAATCCTGCAGCGTATATAAAAGAAATGGTGCAGAATCACTGACCTCTGTGATTTGAAAGCCAATGTGAAGGAAAACAATGTAATGATTCTTTAGATCAGGACAGATATCATATCACATTTGTTTGTCTTTCTGAATATTTTTATAGCTCTTAAAAAAATTAAAATAGCCTTTGGTATATTTTTCCCTTTGACAGCATGTCACTTATCCTTACGTAGCTGCTCTGGATCCCTGGGCATACTCCTTATCCTACATACTGGGTGAGGTGTGACATCTCAAAAAACCCTAGATCTATAATCGCTCCCCAGGACAAAACAAAACACAAGCATGGCATGCTTCTGCCTATAAGCACCAACATGTTTATTAAGGTAGCTGGTCATATGACTGACTTTTAATAACATTTTCTGTATAAAAGTCAATTTACATTTCCTTTCTGGAAAATTTATGTTTTTACAGTAATCTGGTCATGGCTGGAAGATCTCAGGCATCACAGTCACTGCTCGGGGCAGACTCTATGACTCGCTGTTTGTCCTGCTACTTCCTGATGGAGAGAACACATGGAAGGGGAAAAGAAAGGTGTGTGCAAACCCGATAGATGTCAAAGGTCCTGACACAGTTCCTTCAGCCAAAATAAACCCTAGTTGTAAGATGTCTAGAAAGTGCTGACATTCACCAGGCACCTGCTGAATGCCTTTCCGCAGGCACAGCCTGACCAGGCCCTCAGGGCTCCAAGCACACAGAAGACCACCTGGGACAGAAGAGTGGGAGGTCAGCAGAGGAAATAGTTCAAGCTACAGCCCTGAGGCAGGAGTCCCAGGGTGTCAGCAACAGCACGTGTAGGGCATGAGAGCTGGGCAGGAGAGCCCCAGATAGCACAAAGCCTCAGTGAGAGCCCTAGACTCTGTGCTAAGGCAGGGTTGGCCCTGAAGGGTTCTGGGTAGGAAATGGCAGGATCCAAGGGCATCCAAACAAAGCTCTTAGCCATCTAAGGGAGGACAGTGGGCCAGGAAGAGGCTGGACTGTCACCTGTTCAGGCGGTCGAAAAGATAAAGGACAGATGGGGAGGCTTTAGGGTGGGCCCAGGGTGGGGCACAGGGATAACACCAAGCCGGGTTCTTGTTCTCATCAAAGCTCTTGGTGACCCTTCATGACATCCAGGGGAGAACAATATCACATGGCCCTGAACACCTGAGTCATTCATCCACATTCAAAGGCAGAGCTAGGACCTGGGCTTTCCTTCCTGAGCCTAATGTCCACCCAAGCCAGTCCAGACAGGGTCAGAGCAGACAGAAGCTCAGAGGGTAACCCTGAAACCTGGCCCTTGCTTCAGCCCAGAGCACCTGCTTGGGCTTGAGGTTGACCACCTTAGGGCTCTCTGCACTCACCTGACTCCCAGGGTGCCATGCCTGGCCGGATGGTGGTGATAAGCACCAGTGTCCATGTGATCACCACCACTGCTGCCTAGCCCCCACCCCTTGTTATGCTCAGCCTTCTATGTGTTTCTGTCTCAACAAGACTATAACCCTGGAGGTTGGGAAACTAGCACCCCACAAATATGCAGAGCCACAATGGCATGCAGGCAAAGGCATGACTGGGGGCCTGCTCAGCTCTCCACTGTGCTGCCTCAAGATGCTCCATGAGGCCCTCCCCTCCCCATGGGACTGTCCATGGACACACCCTGTACATGCCATCATTACAAGGTGACTCTCACATCCCTCAGTCCAGCAGACAGAAGGTACAGGGCCATCCAAGCCCAGGCACCCTCGACAGCACCAGGCAGGAACCAAACCAGGCATAGCTGTTCTGCTCCTGAGAACTCTTGACTGATCAGAAAAACCCTCCCAGCATCACTCCCTTGGAAGGACACGTGCTCCAATGCAGTGGAAGGCACTGTGTCTCCTTAGTAGTCACAGATGCCTGTTTCCTTCCTCACCCAAGCCAGATAAGCTATTATCAGAACTAACCCTATGCTGAAAATCATGTCTAGAATCACCCACTGCCCCCCACCCTACCTCAGGCCTGCTCCCTGGAGAATAAGGGGCAGGACCTGAGGAAGGGTCATCCAAAAGCTCCCACCACATGGTCAGGAACTCTTGGTCTCCCTGGAACTCGCTGACATCACCCAGCAGCCCCATCACGATCTAGTAGGAAAATGAGCTCTCAGAGGTGGCCAGCAAGGGCACTCTCAGGGTACAGGTGGGAGAAGCGGCCGAGGGTCCAGATAGGAAAGACATTCTTGTAGCTTGTATAGGATATGGCACAGGACTTGTTGAAGACTCCAGGGAGGTTTTCCTGCAAAGATAGAGAACAGAAACACAGGCTTCACCTGGTAGCTGGAGGGTTGGTCCCTGAACTGTGACTGTTGGGCTGCCCAGCTTGTGGGTGAATAGGCCTAAGAAGGGTCAGTTAAGTGACAGGGCAGGCAGCCATGGACATGAGGTCCTTCTACCCTATACCTGCCAAGTCACCATCCACCCAGCTCAGCCTCCATATCCTACAGCAACCCTGTGCCTGGGCTGCCAGTCCCTCATGGCCACATCAACCTCCATCCAGTCTTGTCCACAGGGGATGGTCAGCCTCCAATGACCTCATGACCCCCACACTGCAGGGAAGGTCAGAAGCTACCTCTGCCCTCCCAGTTCAGTGATGGCTATGTACAATGTCCTGCAGATGGCAGAGTCCAAGGGTCTGTCCTGAAGGGAAGGGGCTTCCTGCCCACTGGCTTCTCCCATCCAGCTCCTCCCCCAGCCATAGCATCATTTGCAAACAGCAGTATCTACTCAAGACTTCAGGACCCCAAACCTGCTACATGCTGACAAAGTTCACACCTCTTAAATCTCAAAAGTGACCCAAGGAGGACACGAAGGCAGGGTCGGGGAGTGAAAACACCCATGCCACACTGAGGTAGTGTCCTCAGGCAGCCACATACCTGGGGCCAGTCGCCATTGGGGAGCTGTTTTTCTAGCAGACACCTAACTCCTCTCTCCTGGGCTGCGAGGTCAGGATGCCTGGGGGAAGAGGGAACAGGCTGAAACACGTGGTGAGAATGCACATGAAAAAAGCCTGGATGCTGCAGGAACGATAGATGAACCCAGACCAATACGCACAGGCCACCAAGAGGTTAGCATCTCAGGCTCCCACTGTTACTTTCCTCCCAGGACTCCGAGAGTAGCAGGAACAGAGATGAGTACAGGGGACCCACTCTTCAGACTGCCTTGGCAGCCCAAGCACGTGAGCTCTTCTGCACTCCTAGCAGGAGGCTAAGTCTTGTTCCCACCTGGTTCCCTAGTCCTCATGGGCCTCTGGAGGCCATGGAAGCCACAACAGCTCATGCTGCTTGCTGGCCAGGATGACCAAAGGATCCTTTGAGTTTTATGGGTCTCTGACCTTCCTGTCCTCAAGGTCCCCCCAGACTCTGCTGCTCCTGCCCCAACAGATCTGCCCTAGCTTTGAGGGGGTTTAGAAGGATTCTCCAAAGGGCCACAAATCTAATAGGGCAGCACAGAGTGGGACACTGCATGCACATCTGTATGTGTGTGCACAGGTTCCTGTGTGAGCATATGTGAGTGCACACGTCTGTGTATGCACATTCATTTACATGTGCATACACCTGTACATGTGCGTCTATGTGCATACATCTGTGTGCACATACTGCCTGTGAGTGCATATGTTTGCCTGTGTAACTGCATGTGTCTGTGTGCCTATACCTATATGTACATGTGCATGTCTACGTTCATACATCTGTGTGCACTGTACACATGCATGTCTACATGCATCTGTGTACATGCCTGTGAATGCACATACCTGTGTGCATCTGCATGTGCATACATCTGTGTGCCTATACCTGTGTGTGCATGTGCACATGCATGATTACGTGTATGTCTGTGTATACATGCCTATGAGGGCATATATCTGTGTGTGCATCTGTAAGTCTGTGTGTATTTGCATGTGTGCATGTCTGTGGCTCAGCACTAGCTATAGACACAGAAGGACCAGAAAGAGCAGCTGTAGGGACTTGTGCTGTGACTGCTAGGGCAGCCACCATTGCTGCCACAGCAGGAAGCAGTGTCCTCATCACAGCCCACCTTACCTGTTTCCATCAGGCCCTGCTTCCCTTGCTCTGCCACCAACGCAACTGATAGGGGATGGCCTACTTCTAAGAGGCAAGCACCCTGCAAGACCCTAGTCCCTGGGACAGGTCTGTCCCTTGCTCCAGGAACCTAGGTTGTAGCTCTTGTAGGTGTCTCCGTTCCTAGAGTGGCTGCTAAATAGACCAGCCCTGTAGGCCTTGCCTCTTCACACCCCTTCACACAGTCTACGTCTGTGGATAAGTGTCCCTCCTCCACCCGACCCCAAGGTTCCAGGATGGGCCCCATCATCCCCACCTGACAGCCATCAGCCCCATTAGGGCCCAGCATGTGTTATGGATCTGGGACTGAGCGCTCTGCACATAACGCCGTTGTTCACAGGACTCAAAGTCCTCCCCCCAGCCTCCGTCTGCCATCTGGTGGGACAGTAGGAAGTCACAGGCCTGGGAGACCTCCACACAGGCAGTCCTGCAGAGACCAAGAACAGGAGGCACTGTTACACCAGGGAATCTGGGCCCTGGATTCTCACTCTACAGGCCTCTTTAGGTCGCTGGGGAAGGGCGTGCACTTGGACCACTCCCACCTGAGGGCCCTAAGCCACTACCTAAAGCCCTGAGCTTGGTTTCCATAAATGTGAAGTGGGGACAGGTACACCTGCTTCCCAGAGTTGGTGGCAAGATAAAGTGTAGTGCCTTGTAACTGCAGGCCTTAAGGCCTCATTGAGGCGTCAGGCTGATGTTGGCAGTATTTAGGTGGCACCTCAGAAAGCCAGGGTACCCTACCTGTGCCCAACAAGCACAGTGCTCCCCACCCCTAAACACCTACACATACAGCAGGCAAGCAGCTGGAGACAGGACTGACTCTGAGACCATCTCCCTCTTCCTGACCCAGCCCAGGCGTGTCCTGGACATGAACTTTCCTTCTCAGGGTGGAGGCCAGGTATGTGCTGGGAGTAGCTGGGGTCAGAAGTGTCTCTACACCATATGTGTTAGGAAGCTCTGGAGAGCTATGGGGCCAGGGAAATATACTCACCTCAACCTAGGAAATTTTCTGAAACACTGATCTTATCTCACTGCTTAAAAATATTTTTAAAAGACCCCTAAAATCAAACACCAAAGTAAAGAACACGGCAGGGCATCGTGCCAAGAATGCCCCCACCCACCAGCGGGATAGCAGCTATATTCACCCGTCTCGGAAAGTCTGCTCCATACAGGCGAAAGCTTCCAGGCCAAACCAGGTGCCGTAGGTGAAGCAAACCCCCCAGGAGCTGGAGGGAGATAGGAGAGCCTCAGTTCTTCTACCCCCATCCATAACTGGCATATAAAACAACAGATATTCACAACACGCACATGCCTCAGCCAAGCCACTCCAACTCCAGTGCTCAAGACACTGCTGCCCACTGTGCTCCAGTTGTTGGACCTGCCACTAGACACCTAAGAACTCATTGAAGAGCCAGGGGCTGAAGGACAGCCACACTCAGGCCAGAGCACACCAACACATTCACCCAACTACGTGCAGCAGTGTGCTGGGCAGCCACTACCAAGGTAGAGATAGAGGCCAGGCATCAAAAAAAGGAACAAGGTCCACGGGAAATTCACTGGGTGGCAGCTTCCTTCCAGAAGCTTTTATTGTAGCACCAGCACACAACTGTACATGCTATGAAGGCAGTGTGTGACATCAGAAATCTCCCACCCTGCACAGGTCCACACTATGGGTGGAACCCACTCACCCTTCCCAGGAACCGTCAGCTCTCTGCAGCCGCCGACAGAACTCCAGACCCTGCTCAAGGGTCTCCCTGGAACAGAGGAAATTGGCTCAATGAACATTCTAGAAAAACTGCAGTCTACCTATCCCAATTCCACCCATTCCGGGTCTTAACAGAATAAGCATGTAAAACATACTTTAAAAACATGTAAAAATAAACGGCTTAGACAGAAGGTATGAGGGATTAAAAAATAGGACATGGGGAAGCAAACTGGCAGAATTAAAGAAAGAAATGTAACAAGACTGGGTGTGATTGCATATGCCTGTAATCTCAGCACTTTGGGAGGCGGAGGCCAGAGGATTGCCTGAGTCCACGGGTTTCAGACCAGTCTGAGCAACTTGGCAAGACCTCATCGCTACAATAAATAAAAAAATTAGTCAGGCATGGTAGTGCACACCTGTGGTTCCAGCTACTTGAAAGCTGAGGTGGAAGGATTGCCTGAGCCCAGGAGGTTGAAGCTGCGGTGGTCATGAGTATGCCACTGCACTCCAATCTGGATGAGTGACAGTGAGACTCTGACAAAAAAAAAAAAAGAAAAAGAAAAGAAAGGAAAGAAATGTAAGAAGAAGATCTCAGGGAGAAAGCTCTGTTAGAAGCAGCTACAAGGGCTGAGTGAATTGTCTCATGCCTGTAATCTCAGCACTTTGGGAAGCTGAGGTGAGAAGACTCCTTGAAGCCAGAGATTGAGACCAACTGGGGCAATACAGCAAGAACATCTCTACAAAACACTTTAAAAAAATGAGCCAGGCATGGTGGTGCATACCTGTGGTCCTAACTATTCAGGAGGGTGGAACCGGAGGACTGCTTGAACACAGGAGTTCGAGGCTGCAGTGAATTATAACTGTACCACTGCATTCCAGCCTGAGCAAGAGTAAGACCCTGACTCTAAATAATAATTTTAAAAAAACAACTACAGACAGGATCAACATCACTGCAAACAATATCAGTGACACAGGCTTCAATAAATCATACAAAGTGAACTAAATTAAAAAAGGGAAAAATCAATTAGAAAAGAATAGATTCAAAAGACAAAGATCTTTCCTAAATCTAGCTGGTACTTCTAAAAAATAACTAGTTCTCTGATAAGGCTAGCAAAGCCTCCAAGGACATTCCTCCTGCATCTACACAGGTGGCATCCTGCAGGGTCTGTAACTTGTTTCTAACCAACAGATCACAACAGAGTTGACGGTGTCACTCCTGTAACTAAGTGCCATGTGACTTCTGTGAAGTTGTCAATGGCAAAGCCCACCAGCAAGAAATCAATGGCATCTTCCAGCCAACAAGGACTGGAGCCCTGCCAACAGCCACATACTCAGAAGCGAATTCTTCCTTAGTCAATGCTCAGGTGAGACCCCAGTCCTGGCCAATCCCTGGTGAAGCCTGAAGCAAAGTACCCCACAAAACTGCACCTGGATTTCTGACCCACAGAAACAGCGAAGTGATAAGGCGTGTTGTTCTAAGCCACTAAGTTTGTAATCATGTTGTTACTCAGCAACAAGTAACTAATACAAAGAGTGAATGTACAAAAAGAATCAGTAGTAAAAAGGAATGATATGACTACAGACATAGCAAAAAACAAAAAGAGAAAATAAGAAAACTTTATGCAATACATTTGAAAACTTAAAATACACAAATTACTAGAAAAATTAACTTATCAAAAGCTGCCTCAAGAAATAGATCATCTAAACAACCCTAAAACAACTAGAAATATGTCAAATGTAAACTTTTCCCATAAAAAATCTCTAGGCCTAGGAGTTTTATTTTTATTTTTGAGTCAGAGTCTCACTCTGTTGCCCAGGCTGGAGTCCAATGGCATGATTACGGCTTACTGCAGCCTTGACATCCTGGGTTCAGATGATCCTTCTGCCTCAACCTCCCAAGTAGCTGGGACTAGCGGCATATACCACCACACTGGGCTACTTTTTGTTTTTGTTTTCTGTAGAAATGAGATCTCGCTGTGTTGTCCAGGCTGGTCTCGAACTCCTAGACTCAAGCAATCCTTCTGTCTCAGTCTACCAAAGTGCTAGGATTACAGGCCATGAGCTACTCATCTGGCTACAGGCCTAGGAGTTTCATGAGTTCAGTTAAATTATCAAGAACACTTATTCTAATCCTATACAAATTTTTTCAGAGAACAGACAGAAGCAACACTCCTTAGTTCATTTTAGGAACACAGACAAATATGATATGGGAAAGTAAAATTTCCAGGCTAATTCATGTACACAGATGCAAAACTCCAGGTTAAATATTGGGAAATTGAACACAATATATATATGGACCAATACTAAATTAAGCCTATCCAAGAAATGCAAGGGTGTCTTAACATTAGAAAAATCTGTAATAATCCTCTACAACATTAACAGGCAAAGAAACCAAATATATAATCACAAAATAGACAGAAAAATCATATGCTAAAATTCAACACCCATTCACATCAGAGGGAAAAAATATTTTAGCAGATTAGAAAGAGAAAACAATTTCATTTCATTAACCTGAAAGTGAATAACCATTAAAAACCTACTAAATATATCATTTTAATGTAAAAATATTAGAAGCACTCACCTTTAAAATTAGGAACTATGTCAAGATGCCACTATTACCATTTATATTAAGCAGAATCCTAGAGTTATTAGCCAGAGAAGACAAGAAAAACAAACTATAAGCCTATGGATTGAAAAGAAGAAAATGTCTATATAGACAACTAAAAACAAAAAAACAAACAAAAAAAATTAATTTGAATAAAAGAGTTACCCAGATGAGTTCAGTGGTAAATTCTACCAAACATTTAAGGAAGAAATTATACCAAGTTTCTACAGTCTCTTCCAGAGAACAGAAGCAAAGGGAATACTTCTTAACTCATTCTATGAGGCCAGCATTACCCCAATATCAAAGTCAGATAAAGACACTACAAGAAAGAAAATTAGACCAATACTATAAACCAATACTCAACAGCATAGATATAAAAATATTCAATAAAATGTTAGCAAACCGGACCTGGGAACAAGATGGCAACGGCATAGGTGGACTTGTGAGATTCTCCGAACGTGAGTTCCCAAAAAGGCTCTTACTTTTCTTCCCCCATCCCCCAGCCCACCACCAGCCGCACTGGTCCGAGGTCAGGGACCTTCAGTCCCACGCAGGGCCAGATATTGTGGCCCCCTGCTGCTGCTGCTCCACCATGTGCATGGGAGTCTCGGGACCCAGCTCCCTCCCTGGCTACATCGTACCCGCTCAGCACGCAGCACCAAGCCGACGGTCACTCAGGGAGGCTCTGGGCGCCCGACCCTCAGAAAAACCGGTCCCATTTCTGGCTGAAGTACCCTGTGGGGGGTGGAGGACCACTCTTGCCGCTCACCACCTGCCCTTTGGAGCTTTGGAGCTCTGAAGCTCTGGGCCCACCCTGGCTGAGGCACTCAGCGTGTGACCCCTAGCTTGGGGACCCAAACAAGCAGAGAGAAATGGATCTGCAGGAACTGCCTCGGCCATTCTCCAGGCAGAGACTTCCATTGCCCCGCCCACCTATCAACAAACCCTACCTCAGTTCCTAAGGTAACTTCACGAAACAGGAGACAAAGACCCACCCCTACGCTGAATCAGACAAAAGCAACCCCCAGGCAGCCGACTAAAAAACAAAAACAAACCCAAACTGCGAGTAAATCTAGCTGCCTGCAATGAAAAACAAAGGGGAGAGGCCGGAGATCAGAACTGAAGTGACTTTAGTCTGATCGCTTGTTTTGACTTATGATTTTATCATTTTGACGGTTTGTTTTGATCACGTTTGTTGTTTGCCTTCTGACTTACACTGTTTCTTGATTTTATTGGTCTGTCTCTGTGTAACTAGTATTCTTTAGGGAATCTTTCTTATGTGTCTCTTTTCACTTCTTTCTGGCCTTGTGTCTCTTTCTCACCTGATACTTGGTATGTATGTCTATTTTCCCTCTCGCTCTTCTCTCTTTCTAACTTCCTATTGACCCCCTCTTCCTCCATTATTTTCGTCTTTTATACCCCCCTTTTTAATCTAGGGACCAAGACTACATATTGCTTAACTGACAGATTGTAAGGCAGAGGGAAATAGGCTCCAGTGGGCTCATACACTTGTTCGTGGATGCTAGAATCAGCATATACATTCTGAACCACAGCTCCCCTCTCAATTAAACCTCAAAACTGCAAAAAGTACTGATTGCAGCCTATGCTCCAACCTGAAAAGTGAACAAAGCCAGAAGACCCGCATAAGGAAGAGCAGGATATTGCAGAAGGGAAATAAAAGCAACCCCACCTTCCCTCAAAAACAGAATTAAAGAAGGGGAAGGAAAGGGGGAGAGAGAGAAAAATCTACACAAATGAAGAAAAACGAAAAGAAGAGTATGGGTCTCTCCCAGACCCCTGGGAGGACAGACACTGAGAAAACTGACTTCGGAATGCAAACAATGAAGAGCCCCGAGAACGAAGGGTCTCAAATTACAAACCTAGATATCAAGACATTAATGGAGAGATTAAAAGAATTGAGGAGACACAAGAAGAAACTAGTAAGGAGCTGATATCTGAGATAACAGCAATAAAGAATACTGTGAATGAGCCGGGCTCAGTGGCTCAGCCTGTAATCCTGCACCTTTGGGAGGCTGAGGTGAGTGGATTGCCTGAGCCCGTGGGTTCGAGACCCGCCTGGGCAGCGAGACCTCATCTCTAGGATAAATCAAAAAATCAGTTGGGCGTGGTAGCACATGCCTGTAATTCCGGCTACTTGGAAGTCTGAGGCAAAAGGATCGCCGGAGCCCAGCAGGTCAAGGCTGCGGTGGCCGAGAGTGGCCACTGCACTCCAGTCTGGGCGACAGAGTGAGACTCCAACTCAAACAAAAAAAAAAGAATACTGTGAATGAAATAAATAACAAACTGACAAGCATGGAAAGCAGAATTACCCAAGCAGAAGAAAGAATCTCAGAGCTTGAGGACCAAAATATAGAACTAACCCAAACTCTTAAAAACACAGAAAATAAGCTCAAAAAGACAGAACAAACCTTCAAGAGATGAGC